ATATGTTCTCCTGTGTGTGCTCTTGTGTGTGGGTATGTGCTCATGTGTGTGCATGTGTGCTCCTATGTGTGTGGGTGTGTGCTCCTGTGTGTGGGTGTGTGCTTGTGTGTGTGCATGTGTGCTCCTATGTGTGTGTGTGTGCTCCTATGTGTGTGTGTGTGTGTGCTCCTGTGTGTGGGTGTGTGCTCGTGTGTGTGTGTGTGTGTGTGTGTGTGTGTGTGTGCGTGTGTGTGTGTGTGTGTGTGTCCTGTGTGTGGGTGTGTGTTCGTGTGTGGGTGGGTGTGTGCTCCTGTGTGTGGGTGTGTGCTCCTGTGTGTGTGTGTGTGCTCCTGTGTGTGTGTGTGTGTGCTCCTGTGTGTGTGTGTGTGTGGGTGTGTGTGTGTGGGTGTGTGTGTGCGGGTGTGTGTGCTCGTGTGTGTGTGTGTGCTCGTGTGTGTGTGTGTGTGCTCGTGTGTGTGTGTGTGTGTGTGTGTGTGTGCTCCTGTGTGTGCATGTGTGCTCTTGTGTGTGTTGTGTGTCTGTGTGTGTGCTCCTGTATGTATATCCATGTATACATGTACACACTTATCCCAGAGTGCACATGTGCTTTCACTGTGCATGTGTGCTGTATGTTCACATGTTGTATGTTCACATGTATACACTGTGCATGTATGCTCTATGTTCACACATGTCTTCAGCAGGTGTGCTCACACTGGTTGCTCACACAGGAGTGTCAACTTTACTGTCGCTGTCATGTCAGGAATGGAGGTTTTCAAAAGACACAATCTTGTCCCCCATTTGGCCAAAAATAATCCCCAGGAATTTCATGTTGGGAGGAGGAGAAGCCTGAGCCAGCTGGGGGGAACTCGCCTGCCAGGGAGATTCCACACAGCCCTGACAACTTGTCACCACCTTGCTGGAGACTCAGCAAGGGCCTGGTGGGGCTGAGGGGCCACTTTGGATGCCTTTGCTGTGCACCCTTCAGCTTTTGTTCAAACCTGACCCCCCCTCAGGACTTAGGGAGTCGAGGGACCACTCTGTTCTTCCCACTGAATAAGTCTCTTTTTTCTCTATTGATTTGTCTCTTTAATTGGCCTAATCAGGGATGGGTTGATGAACCTGTCTTCTTAGAGACTGCCAGAGCCCAGTCCCTGACCTTAACAACACCCCAAAAACTCTGTTACCTCCATCAGGGTGGGTGCTATGCCAGAGACAGGTGAGCGTGTGGTGTGTCCCTGCCACTCTGGGCCCCCACTGCCCTGTGTGAGTGTGAGCAGGGCAAGTGTTCGCTGTTTAGGTGGACTCAAGCCTGACAAAGGGCCCGTGTCTGCTATTAATTACAACCATAGCCCATCATCAGCACTATTACAAACAACACAAGCACCACAAGCTGCCCCGGAAAGCCCAACGGGTCCCAGGGAGGCTGCTCAGGCACTGCAGGCCTGAACTCTGCCTGGACCTGCAGCTCAGCAGCCTTGCTGTCCCGTTCTGGGCCGTGCATAGAGCTCCTGCCTAGTGTCATACTCAGGGAGAAGCTAAGTTCCCAAAATAGTCTGGAGGCGAGGCCTGTTGCTAAGAAATGCCAGGTGGGGCTCCTGTGGCCTGCTCAACTCTCACTAGGTCAGCTGGCCTCCTCCAGCCAACCTTTCTGTCCACTGCTGCTCTGCTCTTCCCAGAGCTGCAAGGGGAATGCAGAGCTGTGCACCTGTTTTACACTGAGCAGCTATGTCAGAGGAACCTGACACAGACATGCACAGAAACACACGTGCATACTTGATCACAGTGGGAGCACTCGTGTGCATTCCAGGTAGTGTGCATGCAAACTTACAGAAACCAGACAGACTTCCACTGTCCCACTCCTTGGGAGCAATGAACACAGCAATAATGTAATGTGTCCCTTATAAAATATCCAATGCTGGGTTATGAGAGTCCTCAGGTTGTTAAAAGAGAAGAAGACATCAAGTGCACAGGTGCAGGGTAAGGACGGGAGAAGGGAGGCCATAAGAAATGGCCTTTATCTGCACCAGAATTGGGCAAGGGGCCCCATTCCTGCTCGACAAGGTGGGTTGGAGACACTCCCAGAAATGGAAAATGGGCCGAGGAGGCCGAGTGGGAAAAGGTCACCTCTCTTCCCCACAGCACAGTTGTCTGACGGTGCCACAACAAGTTCCCTCCTGCAACCCAGCAGACATCCAGCATGGAAGAAATGCTCGGGATCCAAGGAGCTCATGGTGTGTATTGGTTAGTCACACCTTAAAACAAAGCGCTGAGAGAGAGCAAAGTGTGCCTGACACTCCTGGGGACACACAGGGCCTCTCCTGTCATTCCTGTTCAGAGGCCAAGTGATCGTCTGTCAGACTGCTTCAGAAATACTCTCCAGAAAGAGTGTGCGTGCGTGCGTGCGTGCGTGCGTGCGTGCGTGCGTGCGTGCGTGCGTGCGTGCGTGCGTGCGTGCGTGCGTGCGTGCGTGCGTGCGTGCGTGCGTGCGTGCGTGCGTGCGTGCGTGCGTGCGTGCGTGCGTGCGTGCGTGCGTGCGTGCGTGCGTGCGTGCGTGCGTGCGTGCGTGCGTGCGTGCGTGCGTGCGTGCGTGCGTGCGTGCGTGCGTGCGTGCGTGCGTGCGTGCGTGCGTGCGTGCGTGCGTGCGTGTGTGCCCATTTACAGTTGTGGGTGTGAGGCACAGAACTTTCCAGAAGGAAGGAATGCTGAGTTCTTGGGTCCTCTGAGGACTCTGGGCATGTCTGGGGACATCTGTGGGTCTCCCGTCCCTTTCACTGCCCCTTGCAGCCCCCTGAGCCACCTGGCAATGAAATCTGTTCTCTGTGTGACAGGCCCCATGAGACGGTCGACCACAAGGGGGCGCCCCTGGCTGCAAATTGATCCCACTTAGCTGGGAGAAAGTGGAGCTGATCCAGAATCCATAACCCACAGTTGGCAAAGCTGGCCTCCAGCCCCACCCACGTCTACCCTAACACCTGCACCCATCCTCACAGGGAAAGGCTGAGGTACTGTGATCCCTAGTCTGCATACTGACCCCTTCTGGGCTCCAGCCCTCCTTGACTTGGAAGGTGCAGCACTTACCAGTCCTGGCTAAAATGTCCCTCTGTGCTCAGGGCCCCTGACTTGACTCCTCCAAGGCCTGGCACTTCACCCAGCAGGTCTACAACACTGGCTGCATATGATGCATATAAAAGCAGGCAAAGGACTCCACCCCATGGTGTCCTGGGAAAAGCAAGTCCGCTGCCTCCAGAAACAACCTCTGTGGCCCTTGTCTTTGCAGCCTGGGACACCTACTTTTGCTCACAGACAAGGACAAGCTCTCCTGCATACCCACAGACCTCGTCCCTGGGACAGTCTGGGCATGCCCCTGTCACCCCAGCCTTGGAGGGAAGAAAAGGGCATTTTGCACCTAAGTTCTCTGCCCTCACAGTCTCTAGCCCTTCTGGTCCCTCCCCTGAGCCCCTGCACCCTGGGACCTGGTACTCACTGCTCCCAGGGCTGCTAGACAGTCTCCATACCCAGGAGAGCCACTTCCCATGTTCCTGCAGGAAGCTGGAATCAGCTGGGAGGCTTATCAGGTACTGACTGTGGCCCTACCCTAGAGAGCCTAATTTAAGAGCTGCCCAATAGCAGAGAGCTCCTGAAAGTGCCCAGGTGTGGCTCACCAGGGACAAAACACCCACCCCATGCAATCCCGTGCAACCAAATGAAAGCCATGCTAGACTCCTCACACTCACCTGTCATCCACAAACATCCCTCACACCCTGCACCGCTCAAACCCCCAGCAAGACCTTCAACTCCTTCATGCAGTTGTGATTGGTATTTGTAGCACCCCCTGCTGCCTGTGTCTCCCAGGCTCTGTGTTCTGTGAGGACAGCCTCTCAGTAGCAGGCTTGTCTATCAGCTCACACAGAGTCTGGCACATAGTGGGCACTCCCTCAAAATTTGTGGTGCCCGTTAACACCTGAGTGCTTAGCCACCTAGGGTGGAGTCTGCTTCTGGCCACTCTAGTTCCTGGCCCAGTCACTCTGCAGGATGGAAAGGGTGCTGTGAGGGAGGCAGGCTAGGCCCACGCCAGCCTTCCACCTGTTTTATGTGTCCCTGAGCTAAGAATGGACCTCACATCGTTAAACTGTTGGGAAGGAAACCAAAAGAAAGATAATAGTTCATGATTCATGAAATGATTGAAAATTCCAATCTCCATGGCCATAAATGAAGTTTCCTGGTGCATAGCCATGCCTACTCACTACCTATTTTTCTGTGTCTGTTTCTGCCTCAGAACAGCAGGCACGGGTGACGACAGCAGACTGCATGACCCCTGTGATCAACAGGTCCCCACAACTCTGGCAGGAGTTTAAGTCTGTAGGTCATAGGTAAATGGGATTTAGAGGGTAGAAAGATAACCCAGCAGCCAGGTAACTGGAATGTGGTTGGGGTTCTGTGAGGTCATGAGGACGGAGCCTCAGATTGGGGAGAAGAGGAGGGACAGTGGGATAGAAAGACAGAGCTCCTAGTCACAGGGCGTAACTTCTGCTCACACAGCGCTGTGTGCTGCCTTGGCACTCTGCCAGCAAGAAGGCTGTTTTAGCGACTATTCTCATCACCATGACCAAACACGCAGCAAGACAAAACTTACAAAGGGCAGATCATCTGAGTTACCGTCCACCATGGCAGGAAAGGCATGACAGACAGTGTGTGCCAGCAGCACTAGGGGTGTGAGGTGGCTTGCCTCTACCTTTGAGGGTCAGCAAACAGGGAAGCCTGGCTAGAAGCTGGGCTGAGCTTAAACTTCAGGGTGCACTCTTCCAGTGAGACACTTTCTAAAGATTTCACAACATTCTGGATATCACTTGCTGTGTAAGCCCTGCCCCCTGTGACCATGTGTTCAAAGGCAGGCCTCTGGGGAGTCCTATCCTATTCAAACCATAGTAAAGGCCACTTCAGAACTGAGCACTCTAGGACCCTGAACCTCCAAACTGTGAGCTACACAGATCTCTTTTCTTTATAAAGTTACCCTGTGTCTTAGATTTCATTATAGCAATAAAGGAAAACACCCCAAAGCCTAAGACGTTTACTATCTTTTTTCCAGACAAGGCTAGCTAGCTTTTTCCTAACTGTATCTCTAGAAGCCAGAAGCCATGTAATATGGCCAGTAAAGACACTACACCCCGGCCCTTCTGATCTGGTTGTAGCCAAACACGATTGAACACCATCACTGAGTCTGACCTCATCCATCTGACAAACACATGGAGTTTAGGGAAGCCCATGGCATCGCTTCTCTAAGTTTTCTTCATCTGTAATTCAATAAAAATTTATTGTTGACCAAAATCAAATTTCTGTCCTTATTTCCCCCTTCTTAATTGAACATAGCATCTTCAAAGTGTACGGTTGTTTTTGTTTTCCTGGCCAAAAGGAAAAATCCTTGGGGCTAGGGAGATAGCACAGTCAGACTCAAGCCATCCCTCCACCCTTGGAGAACTAGAAAGCAGCCCCCACCTGGCCACAGAATACCCCTTCCTTCTCTGATGGCTTTCCTGAGCTCTGAGAGCCATCAGACTTGACAGTCCCATCATGGGCCCCACCTCCCGTCCCCTCTGCCCCTGTGATTCGGCCCGGTGTCCTCTATGCTCTGGGGACCCCACTTAGGTCTGCCCTGGGGACCCCACTTAGGTCTGCCACCCCCCCAGGAGCCCGCTTACCTTGCTCCATCATCTCTAGAAGCCCCTGCTTGATGAGCTCCTCCCGACCATGCCTGCCAGCCATCTTCTTCTCCAGGGCTACAGGACACACAGATGCTCAGTTAAGTCACAGCTGGAGGCAATGCAGGACTACCATGCCTTCTCCATGTGCTCTTAGTTAACAGGAAGAGACAGGGAGATGGTAGTGCCTGAGGTCGGGGACTTGTTACCTGACAGAGCATGGGGTACACCAATTCTGAGTTTACTACCCAAGCCATGTAATAAGCAATGTCCAAAACTCCAGCCACAGGAAAGCGCGTCCCGGGACATGTTCAGGATATTATTTCTGCGATGTACTGTCATGATACCCTCATTAACTCTGGCCCCGAGGCATGATCACCCTCTACTTACTATAGCTCCTTCGCTCACAGCTGACGGAGCCACCCTCCCTTTACCCCCAGTGTTCAGGAGGCCCTTCTGTGGCTAGTGCCAGCTTTCTCTCCTTGGGAAGCGTCTTCCAGCCAACCCCAGGTTACAGCATCCAGAGGATCCACCACCCGACGGACTTTGGTCAACCCTCTTCTGACTGTCCCTGTGGTGTTCCCAGAAGGCATGCTAGGACACAGGACATTGCCTGCATTGACTCAGGTCCAACCAATCACACACACACACACACACACACACACACACAGAGAGAGAGAGAGAGAGAGAGAGAGACCTTCATCTGTCCACCCCCGAGAACCTCAAATACAAAACCACATAGTTGCTTAGGTCTTGGATGCTTTCTTTGAAAGCTCAGAGTGGAGCCTGCTTGTCAGTGGGGTCCCAAAGCCACTGGCTATGTGGGACAAAAGTCTGGCAAGTGAGCAAGAACACAGATGGCCCACCTTTCAGAGTTCAGAGTATCCACAAGGTTTGACAGTGCAAATGATATGTTCTAAAGTATTTACTGAGCATGGACTTGAAGCCATGTTCTGAGTTAGGTGCTGGGAGTTCTTGAGGAAAAACTAACATGTCCCCATCCTTGCAGAGTGTGGGATGATAAGGCCTTCCATCCATTACAGTTGATCTCATATTGACTGAGCACCTAGTGTGTGCCCTGTGTATTGGGTGCAGAGCGGGACAGGTCTGGTCTCTACTTGTGACCAACAGGCCTGGGTGTCAGAAAGGACACATGTCTACAGGTTGAACTGTGGACTCAGAAGCAGGGAAGGGAGCCCACTGGGGACACCTGGACAAAGAGTGGACGGGGATTCAGGACTCTATAGGAACAAGACACTTTCTGGTGAGTTTTCTTTCTGTAGCCTCAACTTCCAAACCAATTTCCATGTGTCAGTGACCTGGAGGAGGGGACAGTGAGGGTAGACTGGAGGACAGGCTGAGGGGGGAGGAAAAGGAGGAAGAGACAGGGTCTGAGGCTCTCAAATTGGCCTTCCTCTGCTTGTCCCTGGGATACATCCACTGGGCAGGTTGGGACATAGGACATTGCTTGCACTGACTCAGATCTGATCGCTGACCCAGTGTCAGCTAAGGACAGCAGGCCCACTTGCTCTTTAAGGCTTAGAGGCCTCTGTCTTGTCTCATCCTAATATGGGGACTGGACATCTTAAAATTTACAGCATCAGAGCAAGAGGCTGAGAATAAGAATGTGGGTGGGATACAGTGCTCCTACCCAATTTCCAAATGCCCAAGTCTGGGACCCAGGGGCGGAGCTACCAGAGGTGTTACCTAGAGAGTCTCTGTGTTTCAGGGTCCCCAGAGCAGCTTGACAACCCCAGGCAGGAACAGAGCTGTGCTGCAGAACCTTTTGCCCAGAGGCACTGGCCCAGTCTTCCCAACCTTCCAATTCCACAGCATCGAAGGGTCACAGGGGTCGCCTGCTCCAGCCCCCGCCTCTGGGGCACTCCTGACCTATGGTGGGACCTTGGAGATAGAATGCCCAGCTTTCCCTCTGCTTTCTGCCTGGCACACTGGAAGTGCTTGTGAATTCTTGAACAGTTCATCTTGTTTTCGCTCTTGTCAGGAATAATTTGTCAATCAACTTCTTGAGCAGTTAAAATAATTTGGTAAATTGCATACACCAGAGTGAATGCTGGATCCTCCTCCTCTACCACCTTGCACTGCCCCACCCCCACCAGGCTGGATACGCTGTGGGTGCCTGGGCTTTTGTCTCCAGCATGCTCCAAGCCTTGGCGCCTGTGTCTCTTCAGAGCTGGGCAGGAAGCTAGGGCCCCTGGGACCTCAGAGGCAATAGCCTGAGACAGGCACTTGCCAGGCATGTCCCTGAGGCCAGGGACTAACTCCACACATGCAGCAACTTCACTAATTGCTTACAGCTCCAGCTAAAAGGCAAGCTGCTCAGCAGGAGGGCCTAAGTCCCAGGCTTCTAGGCTCCTGGGGTTGGTGGCTCAGGAAGCTGAGCCTTCTAGGAACCCAGCTTTGGTAGCCAGGGCTCAAGTTGCCACTCCCTGCCCCGGGCGAGCAGACTCCTCTCTGAGTCCTTTCCCCTCTCAAAGGAGGATAGGCTCACATGAGAGGGGTCCTCACTTGCCAGATGCTGCCAGCCCCTGATGCTGTGGCCTCTCATTTGGTCATTCCATTCTGTACACCATGCTACAGTGCACTCTTGGAACCAACCATATGGCTGATTCTGAGATGGCCAAGGCGATGGGACAACCCCAACTGCCACTGAGCTGGGCATAAGGGTGCAATACAAATGAGTGGGGGAACTGGTAGATCCTCGGGCAGGGGGAGGTAGTTGGGAGAGCGTCCCTAGACTATGCTTACAGCTGGGGAGTGCACCTGCCTGCTCAGGCAGAAACTGCACCCTGGCAGGCAGATCCTGGAGCAGTAAGGGCCATAGGCAGGGCCTACTTCATCTGAATGGGAGGGTCAGAGCTATGCAACAGTCATTGGTGAGCTTGTGGAATGTGTTCTGGAAACGAGAATGTCAGCCCTTGGGGGCTAGGGTGATGGCTCAGCAGTTAGGAGCACTTGCTGCTCTCCCAGAGGACCTGGGTTCAGTTTTCAGCACTCTCTTTGGCAATTGACAACAGCTGGTAACTCCAGCACCTTGGGGGAATCTAACCCCTTTTTCTGGCCTCTGCAGGCACCAGGAACATACATGGTACACACACATACAAATACAGTCAGGTAGAACATTCACACAGATGAAAATAAGTCTTTAGAAAAAGTCAGCCAAGGGCACTGAATGAGTACCTGCTGTTAGCAAGGTCATGGCCAATCAAGTCTGGGGTGTATACAGTCTGTGAGACGACCCCTATCAGGTAGCCAGTGAAATGCAGTAACCAGAGGGAGGCTGAACCACTCTGTGTGGTGTGGGGACTCCTAGTTACTAGTGCCGCCCTCCTCTCCCCAGGCTCTCACCTGACGTGGTCTGTTTCAGCTTCTCGTTTTTCTTTTTCCTCCATTTCCATGGTTTGAAGATCCTGCCCAGGGTGGCCAGCTTGCTGTTCCTCCGCACAGGGGGAGTTCGAATCCCTGAGATGAGAGGCTCGGAGCGTGCTGGGGGAGTTTGGTCCATCTCATCTGCAAGATAAGAACAGGCAAGGGTCTCAATGGATGATTATCAGGGGATCTCATAAAGCATATAGTTCAGGGAATAGGTACCGCACTGGACTGTTTCTGGGCCTCCTTCAGATACACAGAGAGAACACAGGAGGCAGGGTAATTCATGAGTGGTGTGAGCCATTTTCCTTCCATGGAGACCTTCCCTCCACAGCCCTCACAGTTCACAGCCCTTGCCCACCCTACCCCTTTGCCATGGTTGGCTAAAGGCTGGCTGACCGCATGATGGACCTTTGTGCATGCTATGGCTGCCGTCCACATTGCTGTCTACCGTCCACACTGCTGTCTACCATCCACACTGCTGTCTTTCCCAGTTTTCCTCTGCCTCAGCCAGGGATGTCCCAAATTTTGACACTGGGTATGGTATTGTCATCTACAGACATGTTGGGCTATATCCATAACTACCCTGGGATGTATGCTGCTTGTGGGTTCTACATTAAACACACATATTGGGTATAAACAATGTACTCAGATAAGTGTTTTTCCCTCCAGGAAATCCTTATCCTTTCCCTGCCCAGAATGGGCCAAGCCCTTGGATTATGCACTGTACACATAGGCATCAAGGAACCGCCCCCAACCGCCTTCTCCTGGTTATCAGCTGTCCAAGAGCTTGGCCCAGACCAGGACCAGCTTCAGAACACCACACAACACAGGTCTGGCAACCAGAGCACCCCAGGGAATGACTACAGAGCAAGCTGAGACTGAGCGAACCAAGGGAACATCTGGCCTTTGGGTCCCTCCTTGCTGGTGACAAGGACACATACACACAGTGGAAGGTGCACCTAGACAGATGGACCAGGAAATCCCAGGTAGTGCAGCGTGTCATGCTAGGGACGGACAGCAACCTGCAGGTCCAGCTGTTAGCTGTGATCTGGGTCTGAGTGACGTGTTCCCAAACTCCTGGTCTCCTATGTATGGGACTGAGATAAAAGCTAACCCGTTTTTGCAAAAAGTAGTGAGGGAGCGTCACTTAAAGCGATGGGAACAGCGGGTCACATGAGTCAAGGACCCAATAATGTATTTCTGAGGTTCCTTCCGTGAGGTTCCAGAGAAGGAAGGGCTATTCACTGAGAAGCATAGTGTGGACAGTTCTCTGTTCTGACTATGAATTAGGTCATATAGTCATTCTTCACTGTGCATATCCCTTGCCATGATGCTTTTGATTTTATTATATGTGTGTCTACTTATGAGAAGTAGGGGGCTTTCTCCCCAAAAGTTGACTTTGAGGACACTGTTTGCCTTGCCATCCATGTACCCCAAATGAGTTCAGATCATATCACCCTTTTCTGGTCTCACACCTGGACACAGAGTATGATCAAATGGAACTGGCTTTAAGTTTGGTGGTTGCAAGCAGAAGGGAAACAGCCCTTGCTTAGCAAGGGGTATGCGTGCAGTCTGATGCAGGCAGGGACACAAGTCGGGCTCAGGTCACTAGGAGCACTGTTTGTACAGGGGTGTGTATGTGTGGTTCAGGCAGGTGAAGGAGCTGGGCTGCCAAGAGTGTTACTAGAAGAGGGGGTATGACCCAAATAAGTGATATCCAGGACACTCCTATGCTTACCCTGCCTCAGATCTGTTGGGGACTGGCTAGCTTGCTCTCCTCTCCCTAACCAGGGTACAGGTGTGGGAGAGAATCGGGCAAAGCCACAAGCACAGACACAGAGAAACCCAAGGAGAACCACGAGGTCAAAACTACCATGCAAGTGGGGAGTAAAGAGGCAGAGACAGAGGCAGGAGGGACTCCATGAGGAGTTCCAGGCCAGCCACGCACACAGCGGGACCCTGTCTCAAAGACCTTGAAAAAGATATGTGCAAAATCATGCTACTTCAATGTGCAGGGTGTACAGTGTGCAGGGCGGAGTGCAGGGCAGAGTCAGGGCGGAGTACAGGGTGGAGTGCAGGCCCAAGCTGCTGTGTGCATGGGATGCATTTGTACCTGTACAGAAGCAAAGCTCACTGCTGGGGCTGGGCGAGGAGGGACGGGGACACCCCACACAGGGTGTTTCAGGGCTTCAGTCACATGGGGCTTTGTTAGAAGTTTAGTTCATATAGAAAACAAAATTCAGCAAGAACAGACTACAGGAAACAACTGGGTGCAGAGCAGTGCCACCAACAACTGCTCACCCTGGATCCCAACCCAGATGTCACAGCTTAAACAAGAGACCCTTCCCCTGGCAAGGAATATTGTCACTTCTAGCAGTGATCGAATCCTGAGTCCCATCCAAAGCTATTAGATACAAACTTCCAATGTCCCTTGGAAGAAGTTGAAGGCCTGACATAAGCCATGGATCTTGACCAAAAAAGCCGCCTCGCCCTATGACCACACTGCCACCCCAAACCTCCCACAGCCTGGGGTCCATTTGCCACCAGAGAAGGGACTCCAGAGCCTCAGCAAGGCCTGGAGAGGCAGGCAGAGCAGGACTGGGTGTGACTGTACCCCAGAAGCGCCAGGCTCTGGGGGGTGAGCGAGGGCCAGCCTTTGGAATCCAATGGGTCAGGATCACAATAAAGCGTTCCATCGAGGCTTTCAGTAACCCACCTTCCCCACGGTCCGCCGTGACCCATCTGCAAAGCAGGAGCTGCCAACCTCATGAGGGAAGGGCCAGCACGAGGCAGATCCCGAAGGCTCTCAGCACACTGACTTCCCCTGTCTCTCAGGACAAGCCTAGGGATGCTCTGTTCAGGGGACCTCTCTGCAAGTACCACAAACCAAAACATAAGGGGACCCAAGATGACATCCCCCACGACAGTGTCACAAGTTAACCAAACACCTGGCAAATAGTGGGGAACAGGACATGTCAGGAACAACGGCAGCTGATAGGTGCAGGTCAGTCTTGGACACCTCCTGCCATCAGTCACTTCCCCATGGCCACACGGGGAGTCCAGACAGGATGCAGACAGCCTCTCCCTTCCCAAGGCAATCTATCCCATGATCCTCCCCCTTCCCTTTCCTTCCTCCTCCCACTGGTGCCAGATGGGTACGGAACTGCCAGCCTGTTGGTCCCAGCAACATTTATGGCACAAAAGGACAAAGGACAGCAACAGGCCAAGTCTCCTAAGCCTCCGGCTCATGTGACGGAGAAGTCACCAGTGCATTAGACAGCACAGTGCCTTGCCTCCTTTATACCCTGTTGCAGCACCAGATAGGCACACAGTGTGAATGGTCAAGGGAATCACAGAGGGTGGGGATGCCCATCAAGGTAACTAGTACATTCCCACAAGGGACACCACGCAGGCTGTGGAGGAGGATGGCGCATGCTTGGCTGAGCCTCCAGGGCCAGAAGCAGCACACATAGATTAAACTACAAGTCAGTCAAATAACTTCATTAATGACCCAGATCACTGGGACCCTGGCCAAAGTACCAGCATACCTGGTACTCAGCCCCAGATACCTACACTGGACCTCTGCCCAGAGCCCTGTGAGCCCTGGACATAGGAAGCCAGTGAGATCACTTCCTGCTCAGCTCCACCTCAGGTGCCCCCTGGCCAGGGGAAGACAAACTGTCAGTATAGTCTGTGCTCTGCCACACCACTGCCATCAGCACTGTCCAGCCTACACACACATGGGCACATGGCTGGTGAAACTGCTGGGAACACAAGGCCAGAGGCAGCCCTGGGCCTCCGTCCTGGCACTCATGCTCGGTAGTAGAACGAAGTGTTGGCCATTCTTCTGCCATCCTCGTGCTTTCTCTGCACTGTGGTCTGTCACGATGGGTGGGGATATCTTCTTTGTTGTGACTTGCTTCTGCGTTGGGTGAGGGGGAGTGGGAGGGAGAGCCAGGCTTCCTCCCTCTCCTCCCCTTCCTCTCCCTTCATCACCTTCTTTCTCTTTCTCCTCCTCCATATCTTCCTCCTCTTCCAACATTCTCACTATCAATGTCAATATCATCACTGTGCTTGCCTCCCCCAAACCTTCCCCTCAGTGGCTAGCATAGGTTCCGGAAGGGACACCCTGGGCTCTGTCACACAGTCATCCTCACTGCACAAAGGACAGAAGGGGCACTTGGGCTATTCATCAGACTGCACTCCTCCCTTTGCTTAAGAATTCGTCCACCCATCCGTCCATCCATCCATCCATCCATCCATCCACCCACCCACCCATCCATCCATCCACCCACCCATCCACTCTATCATTCTGCAAAAATGGACTGGCATCCACTATGTACCAGGGACTTGTGTAGGGACGCATTGTAAAGAGAAGAGGAGACACAGAACACTTGCCCTCCTGGGTCATAGCTGCCGTGGAGCAGGGGACAGACATGGTGAGTAGGGATGGAGTGCTCATCTTTAGAAGACATTCTCTACTGCCCACCTCTTCATCTGCCTTCATCACACCCATCACCTGCCACGATGCCACACCACATGCGATTTGCATGTGTGCATGCATGGTCATTGGGGCCTCCACTCTTCCCTCCCTCACCCCGCTGGGAGCTCCAGGACAGAGTTCTGGTGGGGTAGAGGGGAGGCACTGTCCCTGGGGCTCAGGGAATCTTGGCACAGTACATGCAAGATGGTACCAGGGAACCCCTGATGCAGAGACCGGGCTGCATGCTGACCCTGCAAGCAGGAAGCATTGGAAAGGCTGTGCAGAGCTGGTCTACTGAATGTCAGAGGAAGCTGCTGTACCTGCAGAATGGGCTGTGCTGGTCTGAGGATGTCCCAGGCGAGAGATGGCAAAGGGTGACCAACATTTCAGCAGGGAGCTACTGCAAAATCTTCAGCTCAGAAACCCTGTGTATGGTACCCAAATAATCAGGTGGCATAGACTGGTTTGTCCTCGTGGCTCTCACACCATCAGGGAATCAAAAGGCTTCATGGGGGAGGGGTGGGAACAGCTTGCAGAGGTCTGAAAGCTGCGTACTTGGCCTCCTTGCCTCTTCCTAACCCGAGTGTCTCAAACCCAGGCCAGGCAGGCAGGTGTCCGGGAGAAGAAAGGTCAGCATGCATGTCCTGCCATTTGG